AGGAATTTCCTGGTGCAACATTTCCTAGATGCTCTGTATTCTCAAGGAACTCAGAGCATCTATATCGCACAGTCAGACAGACTCTGGAAAAATCTTCCCCACCCCACTAAATTCTGCCTTCCAAAAACAAGGTGTACGGTTTACTATTTATTGTATGCATGTATTTAAGGGTGAAGAAAATATGGTATGCTCTGTTACCCTTCCCCACCACCACTTAGGAATAGATCATGACTTTACCATTACTCTGCCCTCTGGTAAGAACTCTGTTATTTCATTGGAAATATTTGTGGCCAACTGCAGAGTCCATGTATAACAAACTACTTTGCTGTTCCGTGTATGATGTGAGGTACACTTTGCTCAGGACACATTTAAGATGAGGCAGAAAAGGCTAACAAGGATGCACCAAGTGGTAAAAATAGCTAACCTGTTTCATATCCACTTGTCCCCTTTTCCTGCTTTGTAGTTCAGATGCCCCCGCTGCCATTTTTAAGCATGGGGACACTGATACATAAGACACAGGAGGCTGCTAGAGAGCACTGTACTACACTCCAGCAGACTCGATTAACCTCTTTATCAATTAATTGAGTCTGCTCTGATGTGCTGTAATTATAGCATGTCGGAGCAGCCATCCTGCTCATGTACAGGTGCCTGCCTGAATAAATCATCTTTGCATCCACTAGAGGGCACTAGTGGGCTGTGGAGGGGGGGGTGGGGGGGTGTTCCCTTTTGTGAGTAGACATGCACAAGGTCAGTGAGTGTTTAATAACTGATGCTAAGATTGTCCAGCCTGTGGGGCAGGGACCATCTTTTGGTTGTTTTGTATAGTTGTCTTGCATAGTGGAATACCAGTCCATGACTGAGGATCCTACCTACAAGCACAATAATGATTATTATGATCATTTTACAGGTAAAATTATACAGGGGGAAAATTAATCTATTCACCTATCTCTGGACACCAATAAAACAAAAGCTGTGGTTTGATATTCTCCATTTTCTTCATAACTCATTGTGGTTTCCCCCTTTTATTTTAGGTATCAAATATTTCACTCCAAATAGTAAATACAGAAGAGAAGCTGGCAAAGAGGATACTTGCAATGAAATCCAAATCTATGAGGAAAGTAAAGACACCAACGTTCTGGAATTTACAAAATAAAATAATTCTTTTTACCGTGGTTCTCTTTATCATAGGTGTTATAACCTGGACCTTACTGTGGCTCTTCATTGGTGAGTTACTGACAGCTCAGGCATGTTTCATGCATCACTGTTCTGGATGACACTTAGTTGTTCTTAGAGTTTCAGTTAACTCTGGCTGATTGCCTGAAATGCACTTGAACTAAGTTTAAGAGGAACCTTCAGGATGCTTTACTGCCATCTTCATAACCAACATGACAGTGACTTTTCCTCCAACTGAAGTTTAGACATAATACTTGCCAGAGAAAAATCAGTGAAGCTGCTGGTGTCACCCTTTACAAAGATAGGCAAAGTATTCTCTCCCAGTGCGAATGATGCCAACTTCAGTGCTGCCTAGCTGACTGATGCTGGCATGCCTAGGGAGGTCTGGATCCCTATTTTCATCCTTTAGCAAAGCCTGCACAGCCTTTTGTTTCTAATGTAGAAAATATCTAAAGTTTGTGAATTTGGGGAAGAAGACAACAGAGGTGGAAACGTACTTGACTATCTGTTCTGAAGCTATTTATGATAGCACAGAAGCATTTCTGATTGATGAGAAACAACTACCTTAGATATACAAAAGTTCCCTTTTTCTTGAGTGTGTCTAAACGGGCAGAGGTGCTCCTTTGGACTCAATGTTGCTAGTATTCAGTCTGTATGACCCTACCTTCCTTCCTTATCTCCAGAATCTTACAATTGGTGGTGCCTTCACTATAGTGATGAGGGTCCTGTGATTGCAAGGATTACAATTAGGAACAGGAAGGTGTAGGCCAAGAGTATAATGGCCTGGGACATAGGCAGCCTTGCCTAGTGGTTAGGCCACTGGAGAAGGGTTGGAGCCAAACTACAGGCTCCGTCTGGGGTAGGCATCAAGGAGCAAGTAACTGGATCCAATGGGCAATCCAGGGCTATAGTTTCACAGTTGGTAGGGTCAGAAGGAACCTGAGCAGATCATCAAGTCCAATCCCCTGCCATGGCAGGGAAGAGTACTGGGGTCAAACAACCCCAGCGAGGTGTTCGTCCCGGAGGCAGCAACCAAGTAACTAGCAACAAGAGGGAAATCCACAAACCAGAGTCCAAGAACCAAGAAAAGAGAGTCTGGGGACCAGGAAACCAATCCAAGGGGAGATCCAAAGCTAGATCCCAGGAACAAAGCCAAATTGGGGTCAGGTACCAGGAAACCAGAGTGCAGGAACCACTAGGCTCACCAAAGCAGACCTAAGTCAGTACTGTCGGCTGGCCTATAGGCTGCTGCAGGTGGGACTAAATGGATAGATGCCCTCCCAGCAGCCAATCAGGAGCTGTCTGTCAAAAACTCCAGGCAGGTGTGCCTGCCTAGGCAATTGGCTCAGGCTGGTTTGCCCGATTAGAGCCCCCAGATGAGGTCAGCAACGTCTGGCCTGCACAGCCTTTGGATCAAGCTCAAGGAGCTATGGCTTTGGTGGCATTTGGCAATGGGAGACTCTGCAGTGAGCTGCAGGGCCTTCAGCGGAGGTGGAACTCTGCCTGTGCTGCAGCCAGAGGATGGGGAGAGACGGCAGAGGCAGCAGGGTCTTACTGCCAGCCGGCCTCAGGCCTGAGCAGGATCATTCCAGCCCACAGCTAGAAAACATTGTCACCCCCTGGTCTAGGCAGTCCACCATAGACTGATTCTGCTTTTCATTTCTATTGAGGTCTGCACATAGGTTTTAATACTGAAAAAAGGGTCACGTGCCAAATTTAAACCAGATGCATGATTGTAGAGCCAGAACTAGCTCCCTCAGGAAAGCTTCCCTTCCTCCCCACTCCGGTTGTTGGTAGGCATAGCTACTGGAGACAGGTTACAGCCCAAAAGGTACACTCTAAGTAATATGCCTGTAGGAGACTGCAGTCTTTATTTTACTTTGAAAGGATGGCTGAGCTCTTTAGGG